ACAGGTAGAATTCATCACTTCTCCCTCTGTGCTCCCTCAGGTTACCTAAATTCTAATATGTAGCTCTTATTACATGGTATCAGGTGTGTTAGCCTACTTTTGTTTCAAGAAGTAGGAGCCATATTTGTCAAGGTCTCTTTTGGCTTCAGATGTTAAAAATCAGCTCCAGCTTATTTCGGCAAAAAGAGAAATTAATTGGCCTGTGGTAAAGACAGAGGTTGAACTGGAAGCAGGGACTCAAACATCATTCATCCTCTCTCCTCTCTCCTCTTTCCTCTCCCTCTTTCTTTCCTCTTCTTATCCCTGATTATCTTTTGGACCTTCTGCTTCACTCTCAGGCCACTTTTTTTCCTAAAGGCTAGAACCATGCCTACTGGGAGCTCTAGATTCATATTCTTCTACCTCTATCTCAGAGAAAAGTTGTGATGAGCTTAGCTTGGATCACAGGCTCACCCCTTGGTCCTGTTACTGTTAGCTTGTGAATTACTATGATTGCTGTGTCTTAGGACAGTGCCTACTCTTATATTCAGATGGGCTGGATCTTTTAACCACATAAGGAGGAAGAGGCTATCAGTAGACAATACTGTATTCTAGGGATACTTAAAGAAATTATACCTGAAAGAATATAGCAAATCCAGAGAACAGGCCTCAAGCTTGATTCTGTTACTGGAAAGTTGTTCCGGGACTGCTCTGATTATTAGACTTTCTCTTCCTTTATCTTTCCAATTCTGCCTCCACTGCTTGCTGACCCCCTTCGATATCCCCAGCCCATGAGCTTAAAATAAGGGATTTAATTGATCCTGTTCAGGCAATGTGGAAAAGTACATCAGAGCTTCTTAGAGGGAAGGATTTAGTACACTACTTTGAAGTTTGGTCTGTCCCATATATATAGGTCTGTCCCCTATAACATTATGAGCTTCTTTTGTATTCCCAGGGCTTATCACAGGTATATATGACATATAGTAGCTGCTCATCAAAGGTTTGTCTCAAATAGACATTGACTGTAACATGAAAGTTGGGACCTGTCATCACTGTTGTTCCCATTACCGCTGGGACTGTTGAAACATCAGGAGAGTTTTCCCACATTCCAAAAGCCAGAAGGTGCACTTGGTAGAAACTCAAATGGCTTATTAAATGAATGTTATGATGTTAACATTAACTGTAACCAATAGTAATGAATATACAAGTGTGCACCTGTATACCGTTCTTTCTAGATACCATGACCCCTGTTTGAACAGGTACCACTGGGTAGAGAAGAGAATTGAAGTAGCACCTGGTTCACATGCCTGTAAGAGAGGGATAAACATAGAGATGCAAATGGTATTGCAAATTTTAAATTGTATTTTTTAAAATAGATAATACATTTATTTTTTTCCAAGTTCAAGAGGTACTAATGCACCTAAAGTAAAAAATTCCTACCCCAGTCCTGCAGCCATCCCCAGAGTCAGCCAATATTATCATTTATTTTCTGAAAGCATTTCCTTTCAGAGATATTTTGCATATTGATAGTTATTTGAAAAATATATATTACCTGTACAGTGGCTGCACCTCATTTGGCTCAGCCTGTCACGGCTGCTTTACCTTTACCTGTGTTTTTACTCTGCTTTTTTCCTGGAGTCAATGAACTTTCTAAACAAGTATCATTACTTTGGGGCTAGTGTGATTTTTAAATTAATTAATTAAAAGTCTTCAGAGTTAATCTGCTTGTCTCAATGACAGCAAAGCCTCCCTTTTGTTTCCCTAAGCAATCTTAACCAGCCCCATAGAACATCTTCCCAGTTTTCCCTTTAGATGAAACATTGAGTAGTTTCTTCAGTGTCCCTCCAATGTGCCCTGCACTGTGATACACACTTTATGTGTATGTTCCCCCACGTCCCACGTGGTTCAGGGTTCAGGATCTGGAGGAGGGGCCGCACGCAAATGAAAGGGATGAGACAAGAGATCATTTGGAAATATTGGAGGGCCAGGCGGGCAAGCCCAACTCAAGGGGAAAGACTTCCACCGGTGCCCAGGCCTCGCCAGCCTTTTATTCAATTTTGGATACACATAAAGACCTTAATCAGGCAGGCAATTGCGGTAGCAGACTGACCATCTTAAAGGCCAGTAAATATTAGAAGGATTTACTCTGAGACTATTTGATCAGGAAATAACTTGAGCCCCCATTGTCTGGACTAGATAATCGGTGTATAACTCTGGCCCTTGCCATGGGTTCAAGGTTCACCAGCGTTCCGGGATCCTTGTTTGCACCTCTCTGATAGTGAAGACAATGGGTGGCTTCCTGCAACTTTACCCAGATCATCCTATATAATCCTTATAATGATCCAGTGAAGTTGGCACCATTGTGATCCCCATTTTACAGACGGAAGAATTGAGACCTGGAGAAGTGAAGTAACTTACTCAAGCTTACATGACACATGGCAGAACTGGGATGTGAATTCAGTCTCTGTCACTCAAGAGCCCAACTCTTGAGTATTATTCTGAACCCTAGGAATTAAATTTTATGAAAGGAGATTAAATGGACACTTCCTAGGCAATGATAAAGTCAGACCTAGGAGAGCCTGCATTTCCGTCAAGTGCTAGGATCTGCCCACCCTACCTATGTTTTTCTGTTACCAGGTGAAAATGGGAGAAGAATTATATGCACTGATGTCTCCATCCAGGTAAAAGGTAGCAATCCATAAAGATCCTGGAGCTAGAAAGGAGAGGACTCTAAACATAATCCTACCCAGGCAGACTATGGCAACACAGGATTGTGGAAATCTGTGGAGTGGAAGTATTTCTCAGGAGAGGCCATCCCAGATTTCTTTTGTTAAGGCCTTATTTGGCTCATTGTATTGTTTCAAGTTCTGAGCTCTGTCTACTACCCTAGAGAATTAGGAGGAAAATGTTTCATTTATTCTAGAGTTTAGTCTTCTATGACTGTTTTCCCCCAAAAGATGCCTTGCTTTTCTGGTGTACTTTAGCTCTCTGTGAGCTTCTCAGAGGGATAATCTATACTAATAAAAGGGTAATATGCTAATTAGACCAGGAGACCTTCCAGGCGCCCTTCTGGACAAAGCCATCCTGGCGGGGCCGAGGCAGAGGAGGTTAGGGGCGATCAGGCCAGGAGGGAAGGGCAGTTGGGGGTGATCAGGCCAGCGGGTGTGGGGGTCCAGTTGGGGGCAATCAGGCTGGTAAGGGGGGGCAGTTGGAGGCAAGAAGGCCGGCGTGGGGGGGCAGTTGGGGGCGAGCAAGCCAGCAGGCAGGTGAGCAGTTAGGAGCCAGCAGTCCCGGATTGCGAGAGGGATGTCCTAGAGGTCCCAGATTGGAAAGGGTGCAGGCCAGGCTGACGGACCACCTCCCCCAACACCATGCACGAATTTCGTGCACCGGCCACTAGTCAAATTAATAACAATGTCTGGCTTGGTTAGGGTTGCCCGGAAAACAAAGCTCGAGGCAAAAGTTTACATACTACTGATGTATTCAGGAGTACAGATCAGTGTGAGGGAGCTGGATTTAAAAAGAGAAAAACTTAATGCAAAATAATGAAGCTTTTCTTTTATTGTCCACAGATCTGGCCCTACATTTTGTATTCCAGAAATCCCTAGGTATGTACTACTAATAATAATTTGAGAAGTCTGGCTTAGGATTTGGGGACAAGCGAATTGTTACCTATGAAAAGTTTAGGTGTGTCCTCTCTCAAACATAAAAAAACCGTATGAGTTGATTTTTCTCCCTGCAATTAGAATGAAATTTATGCAAGTACATAAAGGGCTAACTTGTAGGAAAATCAGTCTACAGAGGGTAACTTAGGAAAGGTAAAACTTCACAGAAAAAACATTTTAACTTATAAGTGTTAATAAACATAAGGGAATTTATAAGATAAGAATTACTTGTCTAGAGAAAAATCAAAGGTTAATTTCTAAATGTTTTTATTGAAATAATATTTTATTAGAAATGCAATATCTTCTTCTGGCTTATATGCACTCTATAAAGGTGTTTTTCATAATATGGATGAACTGAAATCTGGCAGGCAGTTTGGCTCACGTCTTGTTTTGTTGAAGTGGGGGAGACAAAAGCTGGTGTAAATATGAGCCAAGATGAATTTAATAATTTGTAGGGTCAGCTCAGTAGGAAAGGTGAATCCTTAATCTGCTATTGATTGTATTTGTATCTAGATCTAGAGACTGTGTGTGTGTGTGTGTGTGTGTGTTATTTTTTGTAAAAATATATTTTATTGATTTTTTTACAGAGAAGAAGGGAGAGGGATAGAGAGTTAGAAACATCGATCAGCTGCCTCCTGCACGCCCCCCAGTGGGGATGTGCCCGCAACCAAGGTACATGCCCTTGACCGGGATCGAACCTGGGACCCTTGAGTCCGCAGGCCGATGCTCTATCCACTGAGCCAAACCGGTTCGGCTGTGTGTGTTATTTTTAATCCTCACCCAAGGATATTTTTCCCCATTGAGTTTTAGAGAGAGTGGAAGAGAGAAGGACAGACAGAGAGAAATATCGATGTGAGAGAAACACATTGATTGGTTGCCTCCTGCACAAGCTCTGACCAAGGCCTGGGCCAGGGAGAAACCTGCAACTGAGGTATGTGCCGTTGAAGTATGTGCCCTTGACCAGAATCGAACCTGGAACCCTTCAGTCCGCAGGCCAACACTCTATCCACTGAGCCAAACCAGCTAGGGCTAGAGACCAGGCTTTATAAAATCAAATAGTAACAGAGTTAGTGGCTTATTTAATCCATCACTTTTCTAACATGCAAAATTATTGCTATAACTCTTTTTGCATAGACTCCAAGGTAAAAGGGGACAAAGGGTTAATTTCTGTATACTTTTTTTTTAATTTAGTTTCATCATCCAGAAAATGAGGTTTTCCAGTTAGGATGGAAATAATCTATACCAAATACAAAAAACAATATACATATTTAATACTCTACTGACAAACTGAGTTCTGCATTCTATTTTATTTTGATTCTAAATTTATACAATTGTTCAAAGACTTATGAAATAAATATTTTGGTTTTTGCAGGAATTATCTAGATAAGACAGATGCTGTAAAGGTAAGAGTACACAAGCTTTTTAAGGACACTTTACTAGTAGTTCTATTTTACCATCAACTTATATAATTTTTTAAATAATTGCTTTAGGATAAAGTTACCTTTTAGCCTAAATAACAGAAATGTTTATATAAGACTATGAATAAATCATTTCAAATACAGCAAATGAAAATAATAATGATAATGCTAGTTTTTATTTCTGCTTCTATTTTAGGCTCCAAAATATAGACAGAATGGCAAGTTGCTGGTGGTTGCTCCAAAGGGTAAGTGATTTATTACTTAAAAAAGAATATGTTTAAATAACATTTTGTCTTAAATATTAAGAAGATAATTTTTTTATATATATTTTTATTGATTTTTTAGAGAGGAAGGGAGAGGGACAGAGAGTAAGAAACATTGATGAGAGAGAAACATCGATCAGCTGCCTCCTGCACACCTCCTACTGGGGATGTGCCCGCAACCAAGGTACATGCCCTTGACCGGAATTGAACCTGGGACCTTTCAGTCCGCAGGCTGACCCTCTATCCACTGAGCCAAACCGGTTAGGGCTTAAGAAGATAATTTACTGGAATGGTTGAGTCTGGTTGAAAGACTTAGCAATTAATCCTTTATTATATTGTCTGTCATTCAAAAAATGCCTAAATATTTGCCAGTCAGGAATTTCTGTTAGGAACATCACTATTGATAAAATACTGAGCGTGTTTTTTTCTTCTCTTTCAGAAAAAGTGATGATTGAACCAAATGAAACAATGTCAGAGTAAGAAAATGTCTCTGGTTGTGCCACTGATCTATCACATGCCTTTTGAGCAATTAGAATTAGATAATACAATCATTTGTCACCCAATTAAATTTGAAAGGCCAGAAGTACATGGATTAGCACTTTGGCTTTGGCTTCAGTCAAAGCAATTGTTACTAGATAAAAGGACATTTAAAATGAAACATGAATTTTCATAAAATTGTAGAGCTATAGATAATATTCACTTTCTTTAAATGCTTAAATGCCAAGGATTCTGTACTTATGTAATTCTCATTGCTCATTTCTTTTTTTTTTTTTTTTTCTAGAGAGAGTGGAAGAGAGGGGGAGAGACAGAGAGAGAAAGACACATCAATTGATTGCCTCCCCCATGCACTCCGACCAGGGCAGGGACCAGGGCAGGCATGGAGTCTGCAACCGAGGTATGTGCTCTTGACCTTGACTGGAATCGAACTCGTGACAACTTCAGTCTGCAGGCCAGTGCTCTATCCACTGGGCAAACCCAGCTAGGGCCTCATTGCTCATTTCTATTTCCCTTTGATACTTGCTCATTTCTTTCAGAATATCTCTTTAAATGAATATTTATAAACAGATTTTTTATTTACTATGAGATGATTCATTACTAGTAAATAAGGAAAATACATTAATACCCCAAGTAGATGAAGAGGTTAGTGATAAAAAGAGTCATAGTTCAGTTTAAACTTAGTAGCTAAAGATTAAGTAGCTGATTCTGCTCATTTATCAAAGCCCTTCCTGATATGGTCATCTGCTACCACCTGAAAAAAATATTCTGTCATTTAGTCTATGAAAAATTACATTTTGAAAGCTGATCATAAAACACATTTATAGAGATCAATTATTGACAGGTTTGTAAGCACCATTCTGGTGGGATTCTATTCAAATTAATATTATTTTGGCTTATTGTGAATATTTTGGCTGGGAAAAATTTCATGTAATGCAATATATATTTTAACTTCATACTATCAAACCTAAAAATTAAAATTAGACTCCACCTTTGCTTTGTTGTAAATTATATATTAAATACATATTCTTATATTAAAGGGAGAGTAATGTATAGCAGATCAATGATGAGAATCTATATACTTCAGATTAAATATTATAGACAACCAGAAAAAATAAATGCTCTGTTAAATATATATATATATTTATATCCTACTAGAGGCCCAGTGCACGAATTTGTGCACAGGTGGGGTCCAGCCGGCCCGCCTCGATAGGAGCTGATTGGGGCCAGGCTGGGGGGGGGGGGGGGAGAGATGCAGGAGATTGGCTGGCCGGCCCCACCCCCGATGGGGGGGGTGGCAGTCAGGGGCCGGGCCAGCCAGGGGGGGAGGGGATTCAGAAGGTTGGAGGGGTGTTGATTGGGGCCTCAATTGGGCTGGTTGGCCGGCGCAATGCATGTCATAGTGACCAGTCATTCCGGTCATTCCATCATTCCCTTTGCTTGGCTTTTATTTTTATTTTTTACTTTTTTAAATATATTTTTATTGATTTCGGAGAGGAAGAGAGAGGGAGAGAGAGATAGAAACATCAGTGATGAGAGAGAATCATTGACTGGCTGCCTCCTGCACACCCCTACTGGGGATCGAGCCCGCAATCCAGGCATGTGCCCCTGACTGGAATCGAACCCGGGACCCTTCAGTCCACAGGCGGACGTTCAATCCACGGAGCCAAATCGGCTAGGGCTCTCTTGGCTTTTATACTAGTGTATATAGATTACATCATTGAAAACATTTAAATTAAAAAGTCTAAGACAATTTTAGTAGTCTTTGAGGGAAATATAACTTCCAATAATAGTAACAAAAGTTAATAGGTCATTAATGAAAATAAATTGTTTTGTCTACTGTGAGCCCTGTGTTCTGAGACTGTGATAAGCAATGTTAGAATTGGATTGGGAGTGATCCACACCCTGAAATAGTTATACCCCAGGGATAAATCAAAGGCAGCCAGGGCCAAAATAGAAAAGCAGAGTGCCTACTTTTTCCCTTGACCTCATTAATAATTGCATCAGCTCATCAAACTGTTTTTTGAAAGGGTAAGATGAGAACATTTCCTTAAATTTGCTTGCAGAGAAGAATTTAGGTTTGGTTTGGTTGTTTGAAGTGGATAGTTAGTGTAGCCATTAAGCTTCACCATTGTGTGGCGTTGTCACTTCAGGTTCCTTACCCAGAGTTGAAGGCAAACAGGATCAGTCCTGGGGGAAAAAAAAATGAGCAAGAAAATAGAAAATCGTGTGGGAACTAGTGTGGGAACCTTTGTTTGGGAACTAGTGTGACTGAACTGCAAAGTTGATGAATTTTCTCAGTGTAGCTTCAGATTCCACTTTCCAACCCCTACTGGCTTGGTAGTCTGGCTGGCAAGTGGATTTTGCCATAAGATCCTATCTAGCTTGGGTTAGAGGAAAATAAGAACTTTTCTTTCCCCACCAATTCTTTGCCTTAATCTGGTTGATTCTTCATGGAGCCGCAAGGACTTTATAAACCATGAATTTCAAACTCTGCACATAAAACTCACATTTATCATTTCCTTTTTTCCCCATAGACCCATGTGAGAGATTTTGTCCACTCAACAAATTGCACTTAATTAACAAACTTTTCAGTGGTAAAGGTAAAATATATCTTTAATGCTGAACAAAGTTTTATAGGTCTTGGACCTTTGATCTGTTGGGTTTTTTGGTCAAGCTTCTGAGCATACTTAAAGATGTGCGGGGGAAATGGCTGAAGCAGACCCACTGCACTCAGTGCTCTGAGCTGCAAACACTATATTTCTGTTATTCCATAATTACATGTTTTATCTTTTCTAAAATGAATAAGTTATTTTTTAGTTCCCATTTTTACACTTTAAGGACAAGACCAGGAATTGGCCAGCAAACTTTATATGTCAGCAACACAAGTTTCTCTAAATATAACTAAGACATTCTTAGAAAAGTAAGTTTTAATTAATTTTAGGCCCATTTTTGACAAATTATAAATCATTTTAAAACAAAGTTTAAAATATAAACTTCCTGAAAAAATTTGTTAATTCCAATAGAAATTTGGGGGCATTCCATAAATATGCCCAGTGCTCTTAAAAAGCAATTCTAAAACCTGGGTTATTTATCCTTTAGCATAAATACCCTCCAGTGAGATATCTAACTTGACTAACTCTCTAACCTTAGCAGATACTAAATTAAATATCTTCCATTTCCAAAGGATATTACATAAAGTAAAAACTTGAATCTTTCCTTAATTATAACTGTATTTAAATAACACATCTTTTAGAGTATACTGGTTATCTACATTTTTTAGTGGTTAGAGGCATTGTTACCATAAATAACATCACTTTAGCAAATGAAAATCAATAGATTACAGTTGAAGAGGAGATTGGCCTTTGGGCCTTTGAGCCTTTGAGTCTTTAAAACTGCATATGAGAAAGACTACAGAAAGTGAGCAGAAAGGTAATTCATATTTTATTGTTAAAATGAGGATTTGGCACCAATTCTCATATGTATTTTTATGGCATGTTAATGCTTCCAAATAGTAATATCCCATTTATTACATTGAATATGTTGGCTTTCTCCACGTGTCACTAATACTATCTAAAGAGCAAGTATCCAAAACTATACTAGCTAAATTTTCTTAGTCAATTATAAGTAACATATTTCATATTTAAAATATGTACACATATTTTCATCATAGTTTAACATCTTTTACAATTGATGGCATCTTAAACTTGGCAACGCTTTTTTTTTCTTAAATAATGGTAGTCTAATAAATATATGGTATTTTGGATCCAACAAAATACTATAATTTGTAAGGGGGGGAGGTAGGCAGTTAAGGCCTTTTACCTAGATTAGTTATTAGAGCAAATAAATTCTAGTAATCACTTGTAATGACCTTTGGTATAATAATGCGATAGATCACCATGCTAGAAATTGAATGTTTAAGTGACTTCTCAACTTTTCACATGTAGAGTTTCTTCTTAGATGTTTTCTTTTGCAATAGAAAATTGAGGGCAGAGGCAGATAAATGTAAATAATTTTTGCTGTGCATTTTTTGTTTGTTTTTTAATTTTTATTGATTTTAGAGAGGAAGGGTGATGGATAGAGAGAAACATCAATGATGAGAGATAATCATTGACTGGCTGCATCCTGCATGCCCCCCACTGGGGATCGAGCCTGCAACCCGATATGTATCCTTGACTGGAATCAAACCTAGGATCTTCAGTCCACAGGCCAATACTCTATCCACTGAGCAAGACCAGCTAGGGCTGCTGTGTATTTTGTGTTACCAGGGAGAGGACTTACTTTAGCAGCATGTACTGGGGAAGTGAAGATTCCATTCCATCCCATTGTATTAAGAATATAACAAGCTGTTCAGCCTCTTTGCTAAATCACTGTACAAGACCACTAACTTAACTACAGTACTAATGTTCTGGATTCACATTTCAATGGGGATAAAATAGAAAGCCACCATAACTTGGGGGCGGTAACACTTTATATCTTTTTATATCTTTCCATGCAAACTAAAAGTTTAATTTTTAAACTTGGTAAAGGAGACACATTAAAAGAATCTTAAAACTATGGAAAACAGACTTGGGGTCATTTTCCCACCAGCCTGGGTGCCTGTCTTTGTAAACAGAGTGCACCACACATGAATCCTCTGTCTCAGTGCACTGTTTACTGACATGAGGTTTCAGGCTTAGAGGCTAAGAGAGAACCCATTTTATTTCAGCTACTTAATGAAAAAGCAGGCTACTTTATATTAGGACCAAGATTAACATTAGTGTTGCACTCTCTCCATACTGTAGCATTTAGCAATGGTAAGAATGGATTTACAACATTTAAAAAAGGCTAGTATTCCTTAAATAGTTTTTTTTGTTATATATATATATAACATATATATATATATATATATATATATATATATATATATATATATGATGTGCCAAAGACATTCGTACTGATTGCTAATATGCTCTGTGTTAAAGAATACTGAAAACATTCTAAGAATCATTACACAATGGCAAATGCCTAGCAGAAATAGAATTTTAATCACCAGTAAAAATTATTTTTAATGCTTTCCCACAAAGAAGATACTGCATTTAGCTATTTAGTTTATTATTAGTATAATATATTATATTATACTGTGTGCTTATATTAAATAAGTGTGTGTGTGTGTGTACCCAAATAAAGCCTTAAACATAATTTTGACCTAGGAACGTATTTTGACTGTCTACTTTAACATTTAGGAAGGAAGTCTCTTCAAAAAATATTGAAAATAAGGTCTTTTTAAAGAATACTGAAAATAGAGTATCTTCAAAGAGTATTGAACATAAAGATACAGAAACAAATCTACAGTCAAAGCTATGGTCAACTTCCTTCTTAAAAGAAAGCACAGGTAATAACAATTGGTTTTGGTTTTTTTTTAGATCAACTGTTGCTTCTAATTAGCCTTCTTTCACCATGACCTTTGGGATGTTGACAACTCTATAGGTCTGGGGAGGATCATGGGAATTGGTACTTTTTCAAATTGATGTAACATATGATTCCGATATGCAGTCAGGTGTAGGATCCATGGAAAAATATTATATGAAATGATAGTAATAGAGTATTAAATTTTAGAATGAATTAAAATACCTAATGAAAGCAAACAAGTTCCATTCATTCAATGATGGTTTATTGAGTGCTGGTCACTGCTTTAGAAGCTGTGGATACAATAGTTAGCAAATAGGCAAGGTCCTTGCCCTTATGAAGTTTACATTCTAGTGGAAGATAGACAGCCAACTATTAAAAACCAATAAACAATATAAAACAAATACAAACAAAAAAGCAACACAATGTCAGGTTGTGATGGATGTTACAATGTTAATAAATGGCCCCTGGGAGAGGACTACCTTAGATCTAGGGATCAGGAAACCTCTCTCATGGAGCTCAGTGTGTGTTTGTGAATTAACTGAGGTGAGACAGTTCCTGTGACATCACACAGCCTTGAATTCCCTATTCTGATCTTTCCCTGATGACACCAGTGTGATGAGTCAATGAACAGGCTGGATACACACTGGGAGATCAGAGTGGCTGTGAGCTGATGGACACCACAAAGGACACAGAATCAGGTAGCCAAGCCACCCTACTCTTGGAAAGACTTTTTTTTAGTTTGTGTTCTCTTAACATTGTTTTCTCTTAAGCTCTCCTAGATTTCCTCATTTTCTCCTTTTTATACAAGTGTTTTCTATGTTATTTAGAGTAGCTCCAAAAGGCATCTCACAAGACTTCCCAGATATTCAAAATCTGACAAGAAAGGAATGATGTAGCACAAGTTAGTGTGAAACAGAGAGGTATCCATAGAGCCAAAGGAGTCCTATAGTAAACTTTTTTTAAAAATTACTTTAATAGTAGTATATTTTCATGTGTGTTGGGAAAAATAATAATATAAGATGTGGTTAATAATATGGCCCTAGCCAGTTTGGCTCAGTGGATAGAGCCTGCAGACTGAAGAGTCCTGGGTTTGATTCTGGTCAAGGGCACATGCCAGGTTGCAGGCTCAATCCCCAGTAGGGGGTGTGCAGGAGGCAGCCAATCAATGATTCTCTCTCATTGATGTTTCTATCTTTCCCTCTCCCTTCCTCTCTGAAATCAATAAAAATATATTTTGAAAAATAATAATAATATGTACTCTGGAGTCTAATTGACTCCCAGATCTACCATTTAATTAGCAGTGTGAAGCTGGGCAGGTTATCTAACCTCTCTGTCCCTCAGTTTCATCTATGCATGAAATAAACGTAAAACCTCTTTGGGTTGAGAGAAAATGAGTTAATATATGTAGTGTTTAGAAGAGTAATTGGATATAATGTGTTAGGATTATTATATGTTACTTTTATTAATCCATCAGTTTCATGGATGATATTTATGATCTAACAGTATATAAGTTATAAAAGTACATTCAAAGGAGAATATTAATTAGTACAGGTGATACACACACACACACATATATATATATATATATATATATATATATATATATATATATAGCAAAATGGATGAAGATAGTATAAGAATTACTGAAGTTTGGAAAGTGTTTCAATAGTTTGTACCATAGAGATTTTACCTCTTAAATATTTCTCTAATCTATCACTTACGCTCCATCCCTACTTTACCAGTGCCCTGTCATGTCTCTTATCTCGATTTTTAAAAGACAACTCTAATCTCTCCCCTTATTCTTTATTTTTGTCTTCCCTCAAATACACTTTTTACCGTGCTCTCCAAGTTTTCCCTCAGAAGTGCAAAATTGATCATACTTGTTTCCTTACATAAAATCTTTCATTAGTAGCCCCTTCATTCTTAAGATAGTCCCCAAGGCTTCTGGTCTACAAGACTCTCCATTATCCATCTAGCCCAGGGGTGGGCAAACTTTTTGACTCGAGGGCCACAATGGGTTCTTAAACTGGACCGGAGAGCCGGAACAAAAGCATGGATGGAGTGTTTGTGTGAACTAATATAAATTCAAAGTAAACATCATTACATAAAAGGGTACGGTCTTTTTTTTTTTAGTTTTATTCATTTCAAACGATCCGGCCCGCGGGCCGTAGTTTGCCCACGGCTGATCTAGCCCCTACCTACACTTCCAGCCACATCTGTCACCATTTCAGCCTTAACCTTGACCCTTAAGCAGCATCAGAGTGATTATAGTTCACACACATTCTTGCTTCTGTATTGGCTCATGTTGTCCCCTCTCCCGGGAAAAACTGATCCACTCAGACTGGACAGCTCCTGACCACTCCCCAGACTGGGGTGTGGCACTCCTTTGTTCTCCCATTTCCCTAGCACACATCTTCATCACTGTTCTTCCATACTCTTTTATAATTCTCCAAATGTTTCTGACTCCCCAGTTAGAGTTTTTGCAAGTACTCTCAGATCAGGGACCATTCATTTTTATGAAACTGGGACTCAGCATAGTGCCAGGCACTAAATGGGTAGTCACTCAGTGGTGCTTAGTTTTAATTGTAGGGTCATCTATGTTTGACTTAACATTAAGGAAAATCATTAATAATGTTATGTAACCTCTGGTTATATCTAGAATATTCCACGTGTGTTTCTTCCATGTGTGTGTGTGTGTGTGTTGAGGGAGAGAGAGAGAGAGAGAACTTTATTCTCAAGTAACCAAGGAGTGACATGACCTAAGAAGGACTATTTGCTTCTCAGCCTCTCCAGCCTTACTTTTACTCTCAAGCTCTGTATTTTGTATTTCCTTCTATAAGAATAATTTAAGAAATATGTTTCTGGCGGTAGAATAGCATTAATTTCTTTTTTCTTGAAATTATTCTTTATAAACAAAAAATATTTTCTATTTATTAAAATTTCAAGCACCAAACAGTTAACATTAGCATCAACTCATTGTTATAGATTTGGGTTTTTTCCTCTTTCATTTGACAGTTTTATTACCTGTTTTGAAAATGGAAACCAGTGCTGTTTAGTCAAGAAAAAATAAAACACACAAAACTCTAGAACAGAAAACCATATAGGCAACATGTACGCTTGTTACATTGTCATTTAGGAGTAAGCATTTAAAATTTTTGAACTTTTTAATATTTATTTTTTTTAAAAATATATTTTATTGATTTTTTACAGAGAGGAAGGGAGAGAGACAGAGAATTAGAAACATCGATGAGCTGCCTCCTGCACACCCCCCACCGGGGATGTGCCCGCAACCCAGGTACATGCCCTTGACCGGAATCGAACCTGGGACCTTTCAGTCCGCAGGCCGACGCTCTATCCACTGAGCCAAACCGGTTTCGGCTGAACTTTTTAATATTTATTGATTAATTATGTATGTTGTTTTAGGTGAGGTGGGCAAAAATGAAGTCATTGCAAAGCAGGAGAAAAATAATGAAAATTGCCTTCAGATTATTGATGATAAATTGTCCAAGTCAACAAAAGATGATGGTGAAGATGACACCAGTGATGAAAGTAATGAAGACAGTGGCCCAAAAAAGGACACTCGTGCCCCATTAGAGTTAATGGCAGAAGTAAGCTTTACTTGTGCATTATAATTTAAGATTCTTAAAAATATTAAAATAACTAAATATTATATAGCCTTGAGGATTTAAAAAATAGTAAAAAGATCCTTGCCATGTACAGATGCTTACCTAGCTACTCATCTCTCTTACAACCTTCACCAAGGGAGCAGTGAGAGAAGTTTCTAGAATTGACTGACAGTATTCTGGTAAAAGGAGCAGGAATAAGAGTAGATTTGGTATAAAACTCTTCTAGCACTGTTTAGAGGAATGCTTTGTACATAAAGCATGGGCACCATGCTAGTTACTGGGAATGTGTAGAAATAAAGACAGGTCCCACCTTTGAGAACTAACATGCACATATTATTTATATAATATAATTTATAATGAAATATGTGCTAGTAGAAGTGTTTATGAAATTCTCTGGGAACAGAGGATTAAGTGAGTAATTAAGAAAAGAAACAGGAGAAATGGGATAAAAGGAAGAGAACTGAATACATCTTAACAACTAAAAGGAAGGAGGAAGAGGAGAAGGCATTCCTGACACTGCAAACAGCATATGCAAAGGCATTGAAGCCTGAAATATCACAGGAAAAAAATGTACATTTACTGATAATTCCGTAGAGAACAAAACAATTTTACTTATTGTGGTGTCACAGTCTACCATTACTTAATATTACACAACTTCATGTATATTGTACAAACTTTATAATAGTACATTTTCATGTCCCCTTCTCATCCTTGCTATTATTGTTGTCAAACATTTTATTTCTATATATGTTATAAGTTCCACATGCATTATTATTATTTTTGTTTTAAAAATGGTCAATTATCTTTTTTCTAAAAATATTTTTATTGATTTCAGAGAGGAAGGTAGAGGGAGAGAGAGATAGAAACATCAATGATGAGAGAGAATCATTGATCAGCTGCCTCCTGCACACTCCCCACCAGGGATCGAGCCCAAAACCCAGGCATGTGCCCTGACTGGGAACTGAGCCATGCTTTCCTGGTCCGTAGGTTGACACTCAACCACTGAACCACACCGGCTGTGCTAAATGGTCAAATATCTTTTAAAGAGATTTCTTAAATTGGAAGATATCTTTTCCCCCCCAAATATGTTTTTATTGATTTCAGAGAGAGGAAGAGAGAGGGAGAGAGAAACATCAATGAGAGAAATATCCATCAGCTGCCTCTTGCACTCCCCCTAGTGGGCTGGCCATGTATCCTGACCCAGAAATCAAACCAGCAACCTTGTGCATGGGATGATGCTTAACCAAATGGACCACACCTGCAGAGCAGAAGTATATCTTTTTTGGAACCATTTCTGGTGTTCTTTTTTTTTCAGTCCACACCTTGGGGATATTTTTTTCCATTGCTTTTCAGAGAGAGTAGATGGAAGGGAGGGAGGGAGAAAGGGAGGAAAGGAGGGAGGGAGAGAGAGGGAAAGAGATGTGAGAGACACATCGACTGGTTGCCTCCCACATGCTCCCCAGCCAGGGACAGGGAGTGAATCTGCAACTGAGGTAGGTGCCCTTGACCAGGAGTTGAATCCATAACCCTTCAGTTCACAGGCTGTTGCTCTAACCACTTAGGAACATCAACCAGGGTCATTTCTGGTGTTCTTTATAGCTTTGTGAGGGTCCAACTCTTCATCTGATATTTTCCTTTTACCTGAAAAAAACACACAAAAAAAACCTCTTTCAGTGGGTATGGGTGGGTGGGAGGGAAGAGATCAACCAAAGAACTTGTATGCATATAGGCATAGCCCATTGGCACAGACAATAGGATGGTGAAGGCCTGGGGCAGGGGAAAGATGTGGGCTAGAAGGGATCAATGGAGGAAAAGGAGGACATATATAATACTTTCAATAATAAAGAAATTTTTTTAAAAACTTCCTTCAGTATATTTTATAGGATAATTCTGCTTACAGTGAATTCTTTCAGCTTTTGTTTGTCTGAAACAGTCTTAATTTCACCTTTTTAAAAAGATAGGTTAATTGGAGAATTCTAGGTTGCCAGGTTATTTCCTATAATTTGAAAGGTTATTCCACTGTCTAATACAGTGGGGCCTTGACTTACGAGTTTAATTCGTTCTGTGACGGAGCTCATAACTCACATTACTCGTATGTCAAATCTTAAAGTGAACGAGTGAGACACGTGATGCTGGGCTGATGTTGTGGCGTTCACTGTGACGTTCGCTGCGCCAACTAGCGGTGGGGTATCTGAAGCTGGCTCGTAACCCGAATTTTAGCTCGCAACTCAAAGCAAAAAATCGGCCGAGAGACAGGTCGTATCTCGAAAAATTCGTTAGTCGGGACACTCGTAAGTCAAGGCCCCACTGTACTGCTTTCTGAAAGATGCATAGTTTCAGAAAAGATGTCTGTTATTATCGTTATCATTAGTAATCTACATTATAATATGTCATTTTGTCTGTTTTTAATTGTTTTCATCTGTATTATTATTATTGGCAATTTGATTATGATGTGCCTTGATTCTTCTATTCATTGAGATTCTTGGATCTATCCATTTATAGTTTTCACCAGGATTGGAAAATATTCAATTAAATCTTCAAATATTTTTTTCTGACCCCTGCTCTCTTCATCTGGGCTATAATTACACATATGTTAGACCACGAAATATTGTCCCAAGGGTCACTGATGCTCCTTTTTGTCCTCTGTACTCTATTTCATTTAAGAAATTTTTATTGCTGTCTTCAAATTCATGATCTTTGCAATTATAATCTGCTGTTAATCCCATCCTTCTTCCCTCCCTCCCTTTCTCTCTCTCTAATATATGAGAATATAACCTATATTCATTTTAAACATTCTATTTATCATCTCCAGAAGTTTTATTTAAATATTTTGTATCATTTCTCTCCATATGTTCATATTTTCCTCTACTTTTGAGCATATGGCATATAAGAGCTACTTTAACATGTTTGTCTACTATGCTATCATTTTTGTCAATTCTATATCAGTTTCTATTAAGTTTTCTCGGTCTTTTGATAGATAAGGTATAAATATATAGCTTAAATATATATTTTTAGCAAAAACATTTGAAAGTTGCAGACAATATAAAACATCACCCCTAAAACTTGAGCATGGGTCTCTTAAGAATAATTCATTCTTCAAATTAACATCATACCCTTATCACATCTAAGAAAGTTATCAATAATGCTGTAATAAAGTATATTATATTCAAATTGAAACTTCCCAATTTGTCTTTAAAATGACTTTTATAACTGGATTTTTTTTCTCCAGTCAGGATTACATCAAAATTCATGTTTTTAGTTACTTTTTTAAGCATTTCTTTATTTTGAATGTCACAAATAATTTAATATACAACCAATTTTTTAAAACCTGTCTTCAGCCCTGACCAGTTTGGCTCAGTGGACAGAGCGTCAGCCTGCAGACTGAAGGGTCCCAGGTTCGATTCCAGTCAAGGGCATGTACCTTGGTTGCGGGCACATCCCAGTAGGGGGTGTGCAGGAGGCAGCTGATGTTTCTCTCTCATTGATGTTTCTAACTCTCTATCCCTCTCCCTTCCTCTCTGTAAAAAATCAATAAAATATATTTAAAAAAAGAAAGTGGTAGTACATATATACACTTAAAAAATAAATAAATAAAACATGTCTTCAGCTTAAGTTTGAAATCTTAAATAACTTTCATGAAAGTCTTTATCCAAATATCCATTGCATGAGTTTCTTAATTTCACTGGCTTTTGAATTATTAAAGAAAATATGTTTATATTCAAAACATAAAATAGATCAATGCAAATAAAAAATAGATCAATGTAAAGGAGTCTTTGAAATGGATCCCATGCACCTTTTATTTTTGGAAGCTAATATTATTAATATAACACTTCATTAAATAGAATGGAGCCCGGCCAGCGTGGCTCAGTGGTTGAGCGTCAACCTAAGAACCAGGAAGTCACAATTCTCTTCCTGGTCAGAGCACATGTCCAGGTTTCTCAAACCCCAGTGTGGGTGTGCAGGAGGTAGCTGATCAATGATTCTCTCGCATCATTGATATTTCCATCTCTCCCTCTCCCTTCCTCTCTGAAATCAATAAAAATATATTTTAAAAATAAATAAATGCAGATACAGATGTTTAAAAAACTAGACTGGATATTAGTTGATATTAAGAAATTCTTGTTAATTTTGTTTGGTGTGATAGCAATAATGTGATTGGCTTTTTAATCAAAGTGAAATGAGGTGTTATCTATAAACTACTTTTAAATAGTCTAGGCAGAGGGGGCAAAAGATTATGCAGTGATATTGATAAAGCCAGATTGGTAAAAAGTTAATTTTTAAAGATAAGAATTGGGAGCATATATTTCTTTTACAATTTCCTCTACTTCTGTGTATATTTAAATTTTCCACTGATTTCCGCAGCCAGTTGGCCTGGTGGTCAAATCCCTCTAGTGTTAACTACAACAATTAAGGCTTGGCTAGAACAAGACTGCGCACAGAGACCACAAGGGGGTGCACCAAGAAAGCATAAAAGATGCGGAGACAAAAAAACATGACAGAAATGGAGGATATGGAGCTAAGAATCGCAATTTTGAGGGCTTGCCATAAATTTGTGCAGAGCCTCACGAAAACTAATGAGACCCTCGATGCTACGATAAAGAAATTAGAAAGTAAGCATACACGGACTGAAATAAAGAATATTATACCCAATAGCAGACCAGAGGAGCACAAGAATCAAACCAAAGATTCGACAAAAAACACCCAATTGGAAAAGCAAAATGAAAAAAGAATCCGAAAGTGTGAAGATAGTGTAAGGAGCCTCTGGGACAGCTTTAAGCGGAATAATATCAGAGTCATTGGAGTGCCGGAAGATGAGAGACAGCAAGATATTGAAAACCTATTTCAAGAAATAATGGCAGAAAACTTCCCCCACCTGGAGAAAGAAATGGACTTACAGGTCCAAGAAGCGCAGAGAACCCCAAACAAAAGGAATCCAAAGAGGACCACACCAAGACACATCATCATTAAAATGCCAAGAGCAAAAGACAAAGAGAAAATCTTAAAAGCAGCAAGAGAAAGAGGCTCAATTACCTACAAGGGAATACCCATACGACTGTCAGCTGATTTCTCAACAGAAACTTTGCAGGCCAGAAGGGAATGGCAAGAAATATTCAAAGTGCTGAATACCAAGAACCTACAACCAAGATTACTTTATCCAGCAAAGCTATCATTCAGAATTGAAGGTCAGATAAAGAGCTTCACAGATAAGGAAAAACTAAAGGAGTTCATCACCGCCAAACCAGTATTATGTGAAATGCTGAAAGGTATCCTTTAAGAAGAGGAAGAAGAAGAAAAAGGTAAAGATACAAATTATGAACAACAAATATGCATCTATCAACAGGTGAATCTGGGAATCGAGTGAATAAATAACCTGATGTACAGAATGAACTGGTGACTATGGTGAATCAGGGACATGGAGAGGGAGTGGACTGACTATTCTTGGGGGAAAGGGGGGGTGGGAGATGCGGGAAGTGACTGGACAAAAATCATGCACCTATGGATGAACTCAGTGGGTGGGGAGTGAGGGTGGAGGGTGGGGTGGGAGCTGGAAGGAGGGGAGTTATGGGGGGAAAAAAGAGGAACAAATGTAATAATCTGAACAATAAAGATTTAAAAAATAAAAAATAAAAAAAAATAAAAATAAAAAAATAAAAAGTTGGAAGTGCTAGCCATAGCAATCAGACAAGAAGAAGAAATAAAAGGCATCCAAATTGGAGAGGAGGAAGTAAAACTCAAAAAATAAAAAATAAATAAATAAATTTTCCATAAGGATTTAAAAAATATAAACATAATAAAAATAAGGGCAATAACAATTACTTGAAACTAAAAGATATTCTTCTAAGTGACACATGAATTAAACATTTAAACTTATAACATTTAAAAATAGTTATAACCATAACACTAAATATTAAAACATTTGAAAAATGCTTGAAATTTCAAATGTTTTGATGATAATGATGACTCAAGAGTGACAGTAAATGAACTAAATATTAACACCAAAAACTAGAAAAAGAATAAAATAAACATAAGGAAAAGTACAAAGAAAATAATTAAAGGAAAAAATTAATAATTCAAAGTGCAAACCAAATTATATCAATTTAAGAGCAAGATATTGGAAGAAAATGACATAGATCAAACACTAGATATTATAATTAAAATGGAAGAAAACTATAAATAGGAATGAAAATGAACGCCTTAACCTTTTACAAGAATCAATTTTTAAAAATGTAAGACAATTATTGATCTGAATAAATAAGGATTCTGATGAAAATTTTTTATAGAAAGAAGAATTCTGTTTATATTAGGAAAATATAATCTAATACCCATGGAAGAAACTTAGAAAACTGGTAAAGAACTGCCTCTTACAATGGCACCTGGGTATTAACAAATATATGGAAATGTGTGAGAAGTGTTTTTGTTGTTGTTTAGTTGTTTTTTGTATGACTCGATGCTCATGTCTCTTGGAGAGTAAACCTAGTGTATCTACATATGGTTCAGGATGTCACACACAAGCAAGAACAATTATCTAAGTGTAGGCTATTTTTAAGGGAAGCAGTTTAAATAATAATAAAATATTAGTTTGGTAAATTACAGCCTAAGTAAATAAAAAACATATAAGGATATTTAATTCCATGGGAGAAAATGACCATGATATGTGAACATAAACATGATGTATTTTTAAAAAGTTACTGAACAATTCTAGTTTTTGTAAATATGTGGTCATTTATGGAAACAATATAAAGATGTAAAAATAAACATCTCTGGATGGTAGAAATATAGAAGCTTTTAAATTGGGGACAGAATGAGTATATTTAGCTTTAAAATTTTCTACATACAAAAATGTATTACTTTGTAACAAGAAAAATATTTTAAAAATATTAAAAGCAAAATGGTATGAGTGCAATACTAAAAAGTAATGAATATACATAATTGTAAATCTTCATTTTTTTACTGAGTATGATCATGTAATTATGGACTAAGTTCACAAGTAAAAGCTGTATCTGAACCAAAAGAATATTAAAGTGATTAATGTCTTCACTATCTTCTCCGGTTGAATCAGCCTATGTATCCTCAAATTGTTCAGTAGTGTATGTATAGTGTGGCTGCAGAAAAGTAGAGGTATCATTCTACATATGTTGCCCTGCCATGAGAAGTCCTTAAATATTCTTAATTGATTAACTGATTACAGACTCACTCCTGGAAAAACATGTGTAAATGTTAAAAGCAAAATAGTTAATCATTAATAGAATATTTTCTAGGGAGTATACAATTGACACTTAAATTCTCTCTGAAATTACTTATCTGGAGAATTTCTTAATGTTTTCCAGTTCCTAAGAGCAGAAATGAGCCAAGACTACCATTTGGCTAAAAAATTATGTCAAATGAGTAAGTACAAAATACTTTCTGTTTTCTAATCTTCTCTTTGTTTCTAAATACATTCCATAATACATAAGATGGTTTGATTATCCTAAGTCCAGTGAATTTCCCTGATGGTGTCTCAGTGATTCCTTGACAATAAATTAGGTTGATTGGTATGAGATCAAGTAAAAAATAGATCTGGTTGGAATAGATCGTGAGGAAGATGAGGAAGATAGTGAAGAAGACAGTAGCGGGGAGAGTGAAGGAGAAAGCAGTGAGGAGCCGAGTGAAGAAAGCTCTGATGAATGTGAAGATGGGTGATGAAAGGTGCTACTATGGTTTAATCTTCATATATTTTAACTAAAGTACGATAGGAAATATCCAAACTGAAGCAGAGAAATTTAATAAATATTAAATTTATTTAGTGGTATTAATTACCACTAATACCATGAAGGTAAATCAAAATCCTTACCTTTATGATAATGGGTAATTGCTGTCAGGTAGTGCAGCAAACCTTATTTAACATGCAATTATTCCACCAATATTTGAGTGCCTACATATGTCAGGCACTGGAAACATAGCAGTCAACAAAACAGATAATGATCCCACATTTATATCTAGTATCAGGCAGATGATAAAACTCATATAAAGAGTGTGTCATAAATAATAGGTTCTATCTAGGAAAATAAAGTAGGAACAAAGGAATAAAAGTCCTGGGAGGAGGCAAAGCAGTTTCAAATAGGATGGTCCCGGGAGACCGCATAGAAAGACTTGAAGTTGAGGAACTAGTCATGTGGGTATCTGGAAAAACTGAGTTCCAGGCGGGACTAATAGCAAATGTGCTGAGAGGCAAGTGCGCCTGACAACAACCAGGACCATACAACTGGAGAAAATAAGCAAGGGAAGTGTGATAGGAGATGAAGTCACAGAGGTCATGGGTTAAGGTTGTGCAGATTACATAGCACCTTTTCACAGCTTAGGGCCTTCACTTTTTCTCTGAGTGGGAAACCGTTGGACATTTTTGAGTAGAAGAATATTACCCAACTTTTTTTTTCTTTATATCCTTGGTTTTTAGTGGTTTGACTTGACAGTTGTGGTTTTTCTTTGTCTTTATACAACGGGAGGCTTGAGAGGTTTCCTGAGTTTCTTAATTCTGTGGGTTGATGTTTTCATTACCTTTCTTAGCCATTATCTTTTAAAATATCACTTCTACTCTGTTCTCTTTCTTTTCTTCCTAGATCTTCAATTATACATAAATTAGAGTTTGTTTTCATAGTGTCCTACATGTATCTTATACTCAGCTTTGTGTTTGTTTTGGTTTTTTTCCCCCATTTCTTTTTATTTCTCTGCTTCAGTTTGGATATTTCCTATTGTACTTTAGTTAACTTATCCTCTCTTCTGCTGTTAAAACTATTTTATATCACTCTCTGTTTGCACTTAAATACATCCATGGTATAATTGTTGGTGTTTATCGCTTTTGTGCATTTTTCCTTACTCTGATCGACAGTTTCAATCTCATTCTGAGGAGCCTGTTTGCTGAAACATTTTGACCATTAGTAACACACACTCTGTTGTCTATTTTCAGTCCTAATCTATGAACCAGAAAATCCTGAGGCCAAGGAGTTCTTAGTACTTATTGAAGAAATGTTGCTGATGGGTAAATTTAAAAATTGAAATTCATTCTTTCTCATAGAACTATGAGCAGTCACTATTTATTTAAAAACCCATTATCCCAGGAGATTGCCAAAGTACATCCTCAGGATGTGGTTAAGAAAAGGCTAATGGTCATCTTGGATGGTTATTGAAACCAGCTTGTCCTTGGTGGATGGTCAAGATGACTTCCTTTTCTCTGTGGGATGGAACTACCCAAACAAAGTGGGCTTCCTGGGCACAGGCATTTGCACGACAGTGTTCAGAGGGAATAGAACATGCCAATTGCCCCTTGTATTAAAGGGACTATTCCACAATTCCAAGGAAAGCCAGTGCCCTCTGAATTATCCTATTCTGTTTAAGAATTACATTCATAATAAAAAAATATTTTATAGATCTGGTTGGAAATTTACTTTCAGTCCACAGACATCTTTATGCCAGTAAGAATATAGTCTTATTTGTACTACTATAACCCTTTATACAGTTAACAAAGTTCAGCTCAGTTCTCATGTCCCCAAAATACACATTTCTTAGTGGAGGGAGAAGCAAGAAGAATTTCAATTTTTCAAAAGAGTGAAAATGTTAAGAAACATATTAAGTGATTCTCTTCCTTTCTGTGGCAGAGAAAGCTCAAAATCGTGAGGAAGATGGGGAAGATAGTGAAGAAGACAGTAGCGGGGAGAGTGAAGGAGAAAGCAGTGAGGAGCCGAGTGAAGAAAGCTCTGATGAATGTGAAGATGGGTGATGAAAGGTGCTACTATGGTTTAATCTTCATATATTTTCATTACTATATAGCATGGAAATATAAAGAAGAAAACTGCATTTTATTATTCTTTATTTGGTATAGAGGTACTTTAATTTATCCATATTAGTTTGAACTCCTTCCTAATATTAAGGTCTTGATTCAATGTGAGTTACTCAGAGAGGAAAACAATTTATATTTGAAAACACATCGCACTATGTGCCAGGTACTGTTCTACACACACTACTTAATGCAACAAACCCATGAGGTAAGTACTATTGTTATTCCCATTCAGCAGATGAGAAAACTGAGGCACAGAGAGGATGGGTAGCTTGCCCCGGCATCATATACCTATTGAATGGTAGAGCCTGGATTTGTACATGGACATTATAGCTCCAGAATCATACCCTTAGTCCCTCCATGACCACCTCTTTAGGTATTTTTATATCATTTTTTATTTTCTTTATAACATATATCAGTACCTGACATTCTTATTTAATTACTTGCCCTTTTTATCTTCTCCCTTCCAGTCAGGAAACGTAACCTCCTGAAGTACGACTTTGTCTTTTTCACCATTGTATTCCTAGCAACTGCACAAGTACCTGGAAAATAATAGGATGTATACACAAAGTGAATGAATGTAGTGAAAATTAATGAAATGTTTATATTCTTTTATGAAACATTTACACAACTATATTACACCTTTGATGTATTAATCTAAATTATTTTGCTGATTCTGTATTCCTCGATTAATTTCTGCCATCTTCAAAATAGGTTGTAAGGTAACTAAGGTAAAAATAAGAAATATATTCCTAAGTAATTTGTTTTCAGTGTGCCAGTCTGATTTGTGGATGTGTATTTTGAATTTTTATTCTTATATCAGATGTTATATCCAAAATGTTTGCAGCATAGTTTATTCTTTGGGCATTTTGTAGCCTGCTAACATTTAAAGGAAGAACTTCTGCACCATTTTATAGGAGTGACTGAGATAAATGAAGACAGATATGTATAATCCTCTAGTTACATAAGAAGTCAGATAGCACTGGAGGGCTGGCTGACACAGACCTCACAAATGGCTCTTCCTTTTATTTGTGGTGGGGGGTTGTTATTCCTCCCCACTATAGCAAAACCACCATATGTCAATCTGATGATGCTTACCTGAGTATAGAGGTCCTCTTCCCCCACAAGAAGTTCATAAAATACTCTACAACTGATATTGCAGATTAGTTACATTAATGAGATTTTAGTTTTCTTTTAAAGGAACGTGAAAGTTCTGAGAAAACAACTATCTGAACAGTCAAAATATCACGAGGTTTGCTCATACAAGATAATCATATCCCACTCTTCCTATTCTTCATTCTTCTTGCTCTCCTTAACCAATGTAACTTAGGGTGTTGGCAAAACTTGACATAGGTATGTAGTAATAATAGATACAAAATAATCTGCCAAGTATTATTTTATTATTTAATTCACTGTCTTCTCACGATAGTTCTAAGAGCATGCTATTATTATCCCTGTAAGTGATATGAATTGAATTGGGGATGCTTGGAGATATCCAAGAGTAAATGTTAACGGGTATTGGAATTCAGATGAGGAAATTAAGACTTGAAGATGCTAGTTTTTGTCTCAGTATGAGAGATCTAGAGAACCTTGAACACAGCGTTCCATGCTACTTCACACATCACTAAATTCTAGAAACCTCCACATAAGCTAAAGTCTAGAAACTGTTTAATGTTCCATACTTGTGCCTTCTTTAAAATTTTATAACATGTTACAATGGTGTGAAAGAACTAAATACCAATGCTCAATTAATTGGAGCATCATCCTATATACAAAAAAATTTGTTTTTAAATGTGGGTTCCATTCCATGTTAGGTCACATACCTAGGTTGCAGTTTAATCCCCAGCTGGGGTGCATACAGGAGGTAGCCAATCAATGATTCCCTCTCACATTGGTGTTTCTCCTCCCCTCCCCCCCACCTCCCCAATTCCTCTCTCTCTCTAAGATCAGTCCTCAGGTGAGGATTAAAATAAAAATTTAAAAAAAAAACAACCAAATATCCAACAACATGAGAAACCCACTAAATCGCTTCATTTATTAATATATATTTACTGAAGGCCTGTTAGGTATACTATGGGGAACAAAACCCATGAATAGTACTTAAATAGTACTCTTAAATAGCACTGTCATAGTTGAAATACAGGGTGATAAACATTGCATTGAGGAAGTCCAGTGTGCACACAGGAGGGGCACCTAACCGAGGCCCAGCATCCAGGGAAAGCATCCAGAGGAGAGAGAAGTCTAAGCTGAGAAGTTAGAATGAGCAGGCATTCGCTACAAGACTATGTGGGGAAGTGTTCTAACACTAGATACATTCTGCATCCAGAAAGTAAGTAGGTAAGGTTGGATTGCAAAATGAAAATGAACCTGTTAGAGTAGAAACAGATGAAGCTACAGTGATAAAAGAGCTGGATAATGGAGGATTATATAAGCCTTTATCCTTAGAGTAGTGGGAAGCCATTGAAGAATTTAAAGAAAAATAATGATTGTATTTTAGAAAGAACATTCTAGTAGCCAGGTAGAAAAATGTTTTCTTGAATTACAGGTCATGATCCATTGGTCAGTTATGAAAAGTTTATAGTGAGTCACAAGTAGCTGGGATATTTTAAGATTAAATTATATAGAATAGGAAATAGCACACATTACAAAAGAGTATGGAAATTACGTTTTTGTGAAACTTTTGGTCTGAGTATGTGTGTGTGTCCTAGATCTTGATGTGAAATGTAGTTCTTCCTGGGGATTGCAATTTAATGTGAGTGTGTGTGTGTGTGTGTGTGTGTGTGTGTCAGTGTCATACATATACATACACACATACATTATACGATATATCTGAAAGTGTGGAGAATAGACTTAGAGTACAGAACACCACTGGTACATAGTCATTCTAACAGTTCAAAGTTGTAGCCTAGAAAGAGTCAGTTGCAGAGAGATGCAATGGAATGGGGGAGTTATTTTAGAGGTAGAAGGAACTGAAAGGAATTGGTGATGAATTACTTGGGGGGAGCGGTAGAGGTCAAGGATGTCTCCCACTTGGATAACTATGTATATGGTGGTGCTATCCCCTAAAAAAAATGAAAACAAAGATTTGCTGGAGATGTTGGCAGTTAACTTACAGAAGCTGAGCATGGTAAATATAATAGTTTGCTATCACAGCTGTAACAGGTTACAACAAACTTAGTGGCTTAAAACAACACAAATTTATTATCTTACAGTTCTGGAGGTTAGAAATTAAATGGGCCTCACTCAGCCAAAATCAGAGTGTCAGCAAGGCCGCATCCTTTCTGGAGGCTCTAGGAGACACTCGGTTGCCTTGCCTTTTCCAGCTTCGAGAGCCTGCTTATATTTCTTGGCTCATGGCCCCATTCCTCCATCTTCAAAACCAGCAATGTCTGATTGGGAGATTCTCAGACTGCAGTCTCTCTAGTTTTCTCTCCTCTATCTTGTGGTTTTTGTTAAGTAGAACCCTGGGGTGTTGAGCCAGGGTTCAGCAAAGATCCCAAGGGAAAGTGAAATAGGAAAGTTTATTACTCACAGGTCCTAGAGGAGGTACACCTTACGACTGGGGAGATCAAGTTGCAGGCAGTGAGTGAGGAGCAGGACCTGGGGTACATGTCTTTATTAGGATCTACAAGAGGAACGCTTTTGGGGTTCCCAGACTAAAGCCAGATCGGTCAATTCAAACCAAAAGGATCCAAGTTTTTTAAGCTCCATGAGGGTATTATTCAAAGGGGTGCACAAAGGAAATAGATGGGAAGCAGGAGAGACTGTTTATCACCAGGTGCATTGGAAAGTCATATGCACCTGTGGTTACTTGTGGTTCTCTTATCTAATGCTTGGACTGCTACGTAGGCCAGGCACTTGACAGAGAGGCTAGTCAGTTCAAGGCCCCTGTAGGCTGCTCAGCCACACAAAATGGATGCAGAGGCAGCAATATTATGGAACAGTTTAGCTGTATTCTCAACACTCTGACTCTCTCTTCTATTTTTAAAGAAACTTGTAGTTACTTTGGGCCCATCTGGATAATCTAGGACAGTGATGGCGAACCTTTTGAGCTCGGCGTGTCAGCATTTTGAAAAACCCTAACTTAACTCTGGTGCCGTGTCACATATAGAAATTTTTTGATATTTGCAACCATAGTAAAACAAAGACTTATATTTTTGATATTTATTTTATATATTTAAATGCCATTTAACAAAGAAAAATCAACCAAAAAAATGAGTTCGCGTGTCACCTCTGATACGCGTGTCATAGGTTCGCCATCACTGATCTAGGATAATCTTCCCTATCTTAAAGTCCTCAGATTAACAACCTTTTTCCATTGATTTTTAGAGAGAGTGGAAGGGAGAAGGGAAGGAGGGTGGGAGTGAGAGAAAGAGAGAGAGAGAGATTGATGCAAGAGAGACACATAGATTAGTTGCCTCCCACACGTGCCCCAACTGGGGCTGGGGATTGAACCTGCAGCCCAGATACATGCCCTTAACCCAGGGATCGAACCCACAGCCCTTCAGTGCACAAGCTGACACTTCACACCACTGAGCACACCCGCTAGGGCTCTAATAAAATTATTCTAAATGTCTTTCCATAAAAAGCTTTATTTGAAAATGATCATTGTGTAATGATGATAAATTCCAGTTCCCTGGACAGTGTGTTAGGAAGAAAATCTTTTCACCATCACACCAAGTACCAGATTCAATTTCTTCCTGTTGGTATCAGAACTCAACCAAAGGTGAGGCAGAATACTTAAATCAGCAGACAACATCTTCAGGCTAACGCTACCTTCTCTTAGCTTGCAACCCACCAATGAAAGAAAATAAGAGGGAAAGTATTAAAAATCATATGTACTAAATGGAATTAAAAGAATACTTTAAGAAACTTGTCTCAAACTAAAACTTGTTAAAGTGAGATCTTTTACAACCTGTTAAAGCAATGGTTTGAATACTCACGTAACTGGCTACTCCCTTTTAGGTTAATTGCGGTCTCCTAGGTGGCTCTGACTTTTGAGGACTTATTTTTCCTTCTCTACATTTTCTTCTCAACTTATCTGAATCCAGATATAAAAAACTGACTTCTCCCACTCATTCTGCAGTTGCTAGTGCTTCCAGAAGGCCAGTTGAAGAGGTGAGGAAGACATTGTCTATTCAGCTGCACAAAATTAGTCAGCTAAATATGCACTGGGTGGTTATAGTGTTCCAGGAGCCATTCTATGCTGGGAATACACTGGTCTAAAAAAATCCCTGCCCTCACGGAGTTTACATTTTAGTGGGAAGAGAGAAGCAGTAAATAAGTAAAATATACAATATGTGAAGTGGCACAAGAAAAAAACCAGCGAAGAGATAGAAAGTACTGTGGGAGAGGGAGAATTGCAATTTTAAATAGAAGGATAAAGCAAGGTCTCACTGAGAAAACAACATTTGAACGTTTGAGTGAAGACCAGAATAAGGAGAAACAAGTCCTTTGTATACTTCGGGGAAGAGCTTTGTTCCCAAGCAGAGGAACAGTGAATGCCAAGTGCCTGCAGTGGGAGCATGCATCAAGTGTTCAAGAGACAGCCAGTTATCACTGGGGCAGAATGAGGACTTCATTACAAAACTGGCTCCCTTTCACCTCTTCTCAGGTGAGTGTGAATATCCTATCAGAAAGTTTTCTCATTGGAATCAAAACTTCTCTGTGGGTTAAAAAACCTTCTAACTCACTAGAGAAGAGGGTCTCAAGTTCATGTGAGGGG